TTCATTTAACTTTAACTCTCCCAAGTCTCATCAGACAATCGGACATGCCAAATCCATTGATATGACCACTTCAAAAAACTTTTTTCAAAGCTAGGAATCATGATTTTTTAAAATTTTTCCAGGGATACTTTGTTTTCTGCTCTCTAGACACCTCCTCACATCTCTAGTGCTCCACCTCTAGAATATAGACCTTACTGGGGTATGGTGACACTTTGTGTTGCTTCAGTCACCTGCTCACGGCTCACCCCCCCCCCTAAAATTTCTGGCACCACCCCAGTAAAAAATATGAAAATCTGCCTATGTTCCTATGTTACCAATATTAATTTTATGACTTATTATTTATAATATAATTCATTTATAATATAATTCATTAATATAATTCATTAATATAATTCATTAATATAATTAATTTAATATTATTTATAATATAATTATATCATTTTTATCTAATTCAAAGGGATTATTGAATGTTTAATGTTATAATCAGCCAATCACGTGTTCATATTGGTAGAAGAACATTCAAATGGAGTATTAAACTACATATGTTTTATATAAATTTTATTAAGCAGAGACATGGCTGTAGGCAGATACAAATGTCCTGGATTCAGTTATCATTTTCTTGTGGCAAATGCCCAGTAGACTATTAACCCTTAGTCATGCACCAAAGCTGCAATATTAAGAAATGTAATAATTTGTCCAATACCATGTCACACAGTTACTGACAGTATAGTTTACTTCCGGTTGCTGTCCATGGTTCTTTAAACCAGCTGTATTTATGGAAGCTGGGCTGGACCGCTTAGCGGGACAGCCCGGTAAGCAAGATCTTACTGCATTAGGTATATTTATCTAGAAAAAATTATCATGTGTTTATATGGATCCACAAGCAGGTTGGCTCTGATGCCACAATGTTGCTTATCGGGATGAAAATTTCTCCACATATATACACTCACAAGCAGGCTGGGCCAGGATAAACACAATCTTGAACTGTATTTAGTGATGCACCGATATATATGGAAATTCACCGATATTCTGATAATAAAAGACCAATACTTTGCCGATACCAATATTCTATGTCATTTCACGAAATTCAAAGATGACTGATACACCAATATGGATATCGGTACATCAGTAGGCGAGTTACCCGGCAAGGTGAGTTATTCACTCAGGCAGGACAAAAAAGCAGTCTATTTATATGAAATCAAGTTACCCCATGATTGCTGCACAATGACAAAATACAAACACAATTTGGATCATTCAAAAGGTTTAAAAAACATGATTACAAAATATGCAAGAATAAGCTGCTAGAAATAGAGGAAAGCTATAAACATACCTAATGATTTGTATGTATTTTTGGGCTATTATTTTAAATGAAAGGCATATACATTCTATCTAGGGTTGCAGAGTTACCCGGGTGAAGTATAGTAAGTCGGGAAAACTAAACATTCTCTACAGTAGCCAAGTTTATCCGGCAAGGCAAGTGGGAAATGGCATTAGACAGAGTAAACAATAGAGTAGGATGCAATTCAGTTATTCAGCAATCTATACACTGAAAATATCAGATTAAATGCTGTCATTCTCCTGTAATAAGTGTAATTCCAATCCTTATTCAAGTATTAAAATGCTAACAGATCTTCAAAAACATCTGTATGTATATCTTATTTCATATCACTATATAGCCTTGAGTCTTGACAAAGGTCTAGCAAAGTGCCAATGTCAAAGGCAATTTAATATTGTCAAATTGTTAATATTAGTGCGTAAATTAGTATGGAATTCACAACAATAGATTTGAATTTATATTTTAATCTTCCGTCCCTTGCCTGAAAGCAACATTTGCATGTTTTATATGCAAAACGAACGCGGCAAATTCAAACATTCAATGGAATATTTTCACACTTCGCTCAAGTAAACAGTCATAATCACTACATTATTTGGCAATGAATATGTTTAAATAACAAGTCAAATATACAATTATTCTTACCTGTGGTATCTGAACAACATTTTAAGGACTTTCTGATGCTTTTCCCATCGTTATTTGCCATTTAAATTGCCTTGAAGGCGCTGTGAATGCCATAATTATTATTAAAATTTTTCGACAAAATGTAAAACGACGCTATCCCGCGATGCTCCGCGTTCTAAAAGGTAAACTAGGTACCAGGCATTTAGTGAATACGCGAACTATGGCGAACTATTCCTGCTTGGATCATCTATGCTTGGATAAAGCTGGGATAAAATTCCGGAGGGCAAAAATTCTCTTCAGCGATTCAATAAAACTGAAACCAGCTCAAATTTTGGAAACGAAATAAAAACAAAGTGACTATATTACCGGCAGCCGGTCTAACTCTCAAAAGGTTAGGGTTAGGGGTTAGGGTTAGAGAAGGGTTTGGGATTGGGGATCGGTTTATCTATCTTATACCGAAGATTCAACTTTAACTATATAGTCAATGTACTGCCGGCCATTTTGTGTTTGATCAACCGTGAGCTGCCGGTCATATAGTCTCTTCAATTCGAAATAAAAACTACAAATTTACCTGACGCAATAAGTATAGCTACGTTATTCTAAGTCTTGTTAAGATATCAGTTGTCCTATAACACTAGCATTTTACATTTTCTTGCTTCGAAAATTTAAGTATTAATGTCTTACTATTTTATAATTTTGTATTTTAAGAATTTCATTTCTTGTCTTACGAACATATTCTTAAAGTAAGAAAATCGTATTTTCTTAAGAAAATGCTTTCGCGAATAACTAAGAAATTATAAGAAAAATTTTCTTATTTTAAGAAAATGTTTTCTTATTAAGAAAATTTTTTCTTATTTTAAGAAAAAGATATATTGGGATTCAAAAATTTCTTATTTCAAGAAAATTTTTTCTTACTAAGAAAACTATTTTCTTATTTTAAGATTTTTTTCTTAAATTAAGAAATTTTTTTCTTAATAAGAAAATGATTTTTTGCTGTGTACTACGGGGTCTGGGCGATTTTTCGATTTTCACTGACCGATATCTTTGATCCTAGTTTGAATTTTCCAAATATTTAGAAGCGCTATAACATTTTGAGTTACTTGGTCTACATATCTTTTACAATTTGCTCTCATTGGCTGTTTTATTAACTTTCAAAAACTAAAAAAAATCGAATCGCGTCCGGTGTGTCTGGCGATTAGTATTTCATGCAAAAGTATTTCAAAAGTATTTCATGCAAAAATGAAGAAAAGTGCTACGTTATATGGTAGCCTGCCGTATTGGTGCTTGAATATTTTCTCGTGTATTCGAAAACGATCAATCGTTTCAATATAATAAATAGTATTCACAACTCAAATATGGAATACCAGAGGGGGCGCACCCGCCGGTAGATTCGCCCCTGCTACCTGGTAATTAATCAAATAGTTTCATCATAGGTCCGTGGGGTGACCATGAAGAATGGACAGAGAAATTTCGCAGAGTGATTACTGAGCGTCTTGGCATGTCATCAGGGTAAGAAAGATCACTATGATGACCAGGACCTTATTAAACAGCATGAGCATAAAAATATTAAAGGTTTTTTGGCAGAAGGAAATTTCGAGTTTCAGACCCAACGTGGAGTCGAACCTACGATTCCGGTGCAGCGCTCTAACCAACTGAGCTACATAGGCCAGTTATCGAGCACTAACTACAAGTTCATCTATTCATACTATTTAAAATGAAAATTAAAGCCCAGCAAATGACTTTCAGACAAGACATAACAAAATATAAAATTTATTGGCTCTCAACGTTTCGTTGTATTGTTCACAACATCTTCAGAGCAATTAAACTTATTTACAAGCGTGTATTATATATATACAAATAGTTTCAAACGGTTACAGTATTCAAATAAGCGAATAAGAGGAAGGATGAAAAACAACCTGTCATCAAAAGCAATAGTATTAGTAAATTAAAGAAATAATGGTTAGTAATTAGAGACCTAGCAAAGCATTAGAAAAGGTCATTGAGGAGTTGACCTAATGTTAGCATTTAAAGTAGGATTAAGCTTGGATGTGAAAAGGCTTTCGCGAATGAGTAAATCTGCTTCAGAACTAGCAGTGGAAAGGATTTTAAATTCAGAGGGTGAAATTTGATGTTTAGTGGTATGGATATGAGCGAGTATGCCTGACATGGTTGAAACAGAACGTTTCTTTCCAGTCAAAGGTGAAACACCCATGTGTTCACCTATGCAGATTTACTCATTCGCGAAAGCCTTTTCATATCCAAGCTTAATCCTACTTTAAATGCTAACATTTATAGGTCAACTCCTCTTGACCTTTTCTAATGCTTTGCTAGGTCTCTAATTACTAACCATTATTTCTTTAATTTACTAATACTATTACTTTTAATGACAGGTAGTTTTTCATCCTTCCTCTTATTCGCTTATTTGAATACTGTAACCGTTTGAAACTATTTGTATATATATATAATACACGCTTGTAAATAAGTTTAATTGCTCTGAAGATGTTGTGAATACAACGAAACGTTAGTCAATAAATTTTATATTTTGTTATGTCTTGTCTGAAAGTCATTTGCTGAGCTTTAATTTTCATTTTTAAATTACGCTTTCCACCCGGTGTATCAATCGCTACTATTCATACTATATGAATACTCACATCAATAGACTTGATCTTATTTTTAAACTTTATTTCTAGTGAACCATATCATGACATCCGCTATAATCTGATCGCCATCGTGGCTGACAAGAGACCAGAATGCGAAAAAAAGTTGAAAACACTCAAAGAGAAAAGGTGGGTCAATTGTTCTGACAAAAGTGAAGTTTTAAGTTTCAACGAGAATCATGAAATAACGGTTCAGTTTATCACAAGCGTTTTCTCGTTTTCTTTGCAGGAAAATTGTGTTGGACACTCTAAATAAGGTATGGTATATATGAACGCCAAAATCCAGATGCACTTCTCTAGGTTTTTTTTCATCTTACCTGTTCTACGAGGCTTTGGTAAACGGAGAGAACTTGATATGCCTCGAAGTTCATAGTTTATTATTTCAGTTTTATGCGTGAAAAGATCTGTCAGTGATTTGAACCCCATTTTATGCAGCAGCTTAAACATTAAACATTGCTTTTGCTTTTTTGAAGCATGAATTACGTAATATTTAAAACACGCGTAGGAATGTTTTATTAAAATTACAGTGCGCAAAGTGAGCATTTTAGATATGATAAAACAGGAGTGTTTTGAATAGCTTCAAACACGACTGCAATAGATGCCGTCGCATTAGTATTTTTTATATAAAGAATACTAATTAGGATGGACTTACGATGAGTGTTTGAAGTCAATAAACAACCCATTCATCTCTTTTTCAGGTTGGACGTGGTGACTCTAGCACGGACACAGCTTCAGAAGGCGAACCCGAACCAACACCCGAACACTCCGTGAAGAAAGCAAGACATAAACTGAAAATTCCTTCAGGAAGAACCAGCCACAAAAAAGAGAAGCAAAGCACTACACACTTCCCGTCAGATATTAAAATTGAGACAGAAATCACAGGAAATTTAGTAAACCAATCCGTTTCTATGCTTACACTTATGAAAACAACTCCTACGGAAAACTTACCGGCAGACCAGAAACCCGGTATTGAATTTCCTCCGGTAAGAATACGGGACACGAAAACTTCTGAAAACAAAACGACCGAGAGTGAACGTCCTGTTGGTGAAATTTCCCCGGGAGGCACGGTTCAAAATGACGGGGTAAAATCTTCGGGGAGCAATGTCGTAGGCGAAAGTAACTCCGAGAGCAAAGCACCGGAGGGGAATATATCGGAGGGTAATAATGCCGGGGACAAACGTCCGGGGTCGGAGGGTCCTAATGCCGGTGGGACAAATGAGAAGTTGAAAGAAAGTGATCAGTGCGTTGAAATTCTCATTGATGTTGAGTCCGTTCCGAGCACATCTGGTTTACAAGATTGGGTAATGACGGGAAATGGTTCTGTCAGTTTAACTCAAGAAGCAGGAAGTTCTAAGATTGAATGTGGTGCACCGTCCGTTGTTTCAAAGTATGAGAAGACCAAAACAGTTGACCTCACAGCAACGAATCCTGTTGCCTTTGAAAGGAAGGGAACGTTGTTTACTGAAGGTATTGGACTGACGGTATAGTCTTGTAGTCATATCCAAAGGTCAACACTGTGTCTCAAAGTCTCTTTAACCAAATTATGCTTTGATCCCATGATCTCACAGGTAAAAGGCGCTTGCTTTGACGATGGCCTCACCAAATTTCCGCGTTATATAAAGCTTGAATGAGTTATTATTTCAAATTTAACATGATATTTACGCTTAATTTTCTAGACTCTGGTCACTTTTCAGTATTTCATTCACTGCAGTCGACAACATCTCCATTGAAAAGTCCAACAGAGGCGATGGAGATGGCAATGGAACTGGTAACTAAGGACGATCCACCCGACGCGCAGGTTTGTACTCAGGCATAACATGTTTTTGTAGCGCTGTTTCAAATCCTGAATGCGCTCTTTCAAATCCTACGTTCAAATTTAAATTTGAATGTCGGCCTTTAATATTTTCGAAAAGTTTCGAATTGTGTGTAAAAGGGAAGAATTAAAGTCTTCTCGAAATTTTGCTCGGTAAAAGTGCGTTTGTAAATCTCTTCGAATGATATTACTGATGGATTATTAATGAGTTTGAGAATGTTGTATTCATGCCTCGAAAAAAGGTCCCAAACCTAGGACTTGTTTCATGAATTATAATTTCATTCAAAAAACTGTTTTATCTAGGAGTTATACACACTTCTGGACACGATTAACCAAGAGATCAACAAATTTCAGACGGTTGTTTCCGAGGAAACTGACAGAAGGCGAAAATATCGGGTATAAGTGTTTTTATTTACCGTTATTTCATAAGCGAGGTGGTCTTTGCTGGACCTCTGGGGAGAACAGTTTAGATTGATAGAGCTATCCAGTATAATAAGGTCAGTTTAGTTTGGATTTCCTACTGTATAGTAACATTGCACCAACACAGGGCCTCTTTTAACATATAGACTGGGGGGACATGTTCTCCCACCCAGTCCTCTTACTAGCTCCTGCAGTCGGCAATCCACACACCCCCCCCCCCC